ATATTTTTTAAACGGGCCTTTGTTTCAGGGAGAAGTGAGCTGACTCATTTTTTTTAAGAAAACCAAACAATTTTCTGATGACCAACTCTTTTTTCTCTTGTTCAGTTTTTTGACCCAATTCATTCATCTGTAGAGTCTGTCCAAGAGATACACAATGATGGGCTAACTCTAAAGATTATCCATTCAACTGTATATCATTATCAAGGGGGCAATCGGCATTCTTAATCCACTTAATCACAGCTTGCCTCAGTTTCCTCATCTGTAAAATGGGGATAATAATAGCACCTCCCTCCCAGGGTTATGAGGATCAAATGAAATATTTGTAAAGTGCTTACCACAGTGCCTGACACATAATATTCGCTATACAAATGTTAGCTTTCATCATCATCATTATTGTTCCATTTACACTCTGCATTGGACATCTGCCATGACGGTGGTAAACATTTCCACCAACATTCTCTTCCCTGTCCTGTTTCACATGGCCATAACAATAAGGGAATTGAACAAAGTTATCTTTTTTTTCCCCCAAAGTTATCTTTGTCATATCTTTCAAAGCTTCTTGTTTAATTTTTGATACATGCATGGGAGACAACTTGCTGAGAAGAAAGCCTTTAAGGTGCCATATTGCTTTGCCTAATCAAATGCTTTTTTAATAATCAACAAGCAAGCACAGTGGGAATCTTGCATTCTCTGCCCCTTTCAGTCAACTGTGTGACTTAAAGGATGGGGCCAGATGTGGATCATTATTTTCGAAAGACTGCCTGTACCCTTCTCAAAACTTCATCAAAGATTCCCATTATGAGTGGTCTATTCTCATAAAGCGTTTAGAGAGCTAAGAAAGTAGACATGGAGGCTGGCAGCTAGACATATTTTCACGGCTACTTTGTTTTACAATAATGCCCAAGATTTTTCTAAACCTTTGGTATCATTCACATTTACATACATATCTTGGGACCTGGCACCCAACATCCTCAAAACTGTGTCACCTCCAGCTCAGATTTCTATGCATACTTGGTCTAGTTCAGCTGTTCTTTCCACCTTTGTCTTCTTCGAGGCATATTGAGGACTATGACGGTAGAGCACCAACATGGTGACTTCACTATTGTTGATAGAGAAAAGGAATTTTTAATACAATTTTTTATAGAGCTTTTGCAGTTTTTACTTTTTTGTCTACCTTCCAGTTTCCTTATTGGGTCTCTTGTCAAACATTCTGGAAACTTTTCCCCTCTTTCATTGTTACTTTTTTAAAATTTTTATTTATTTTATTTTTAATTCATGAAATAAAACAAGCTTTCCCATAACATAGTAGAATAAAAACAGATGATTACACATGAAACTTCAAATCTATTATGTACAAGTTGCCTTTCTTTTTAAATACATAATAAAGTTATCATGTAAATTTCTTTTTTTCTCCTCTCCCAAGATAGCTACCATTAAACACTAATATGTATATGTGTGTGTGTATATATACATATATATGTATATGTATATATATACATATGTATATATACACATATATGTATATGTATGTATATGTATGTATATGTATATATATGTATATATATACATATATATACATATATGTATATGTAAAATCATTCTAAATATACTTCAATTTTTCAGTTCTTTCTCTGGATACAGATAGCATGTTCCTTCATATGTCCTTTGTAGTTGTTTTGGGTATTCATAATAGTCAAAATGACTGAGTTGCTCAAAGTTGTTCTTAAAAAATATTGCTGTTATGAAAAAATGATCTAAATCACTATTGATTAGAGAAATGCAAACTAAAACAACATTAAGATGTCATTTTATACCTATCAGATTGGCTAAAATGATAGAAGGGGAAAGTGACAAATGGAGGGGATGTGGAAAAATTGGCACACTAATTCATTGTTGGTGGATCTGTGAGCTATCTAACCATTTTGGAGAGCAATCTGGAATTATGCCCAAATTGTTATTAAACTGCCTAAACCCTTTGACCCAGCAATACCACTACTTGGTCTGTTTTCAAGGTAATTAAGGGAAAAAGGAAAGAATCTATATGTTCTAAAATGTTTATGCCAGCTGTCTTTGTGGTGGCAAAAAACTGGAAATTGCAGGGATGCCCATCAGGAGAATGGCTGAATAAGTTGTGGTATATGATTGTGATGGAATACTACTATGCTATAAGAAAAGATGAACTCAATGATTTTAGAAAAACATGGAAGGAATTGAACAAAATAATGAAGAGCAAAATGAGCAGAAGCAAGAGAACACTGTATACAGTAATAGAAATATTGTTTTAAGAACTATATGGTGGAAACACAATCAGGATAACACAAGATTTAGCAGCTTCTACATTAAAAAGACCGCAGGGCACGGAATATAATATTCCAGAGCGCAAAGGAGATAGGATTACCTACCCAGCAAAACTGAGTATAATCCTTCAGGGGAAAAAATGGTCATTCAGTGAAATAGAGGACTTTCAAGCATTCCCTAATGAAAAGAATGGAGCTGAATAGAAAATTTGACTTTCAAATACAGGACTCAAGTGGAACGTGAAGAGGTAAACAGGAAAGAGAAATCATAAGAGACTTATTAAGATTGAACTGTTTACATTCCTGCATGGAAAGATGATATTTATAACTCATGAGACCTTTGTCAGTATTAGGGTAGTTGGAGGAAAAAAATTATATGTATGTATAGATAGATAGATAGATGGCACAGGGTGAGCTGAAGATTAAGGGGTCATATCTAGAGAATAAAATTAAGGGATGAGAGAGGATTATACTCGGAGAAGAAAAGAGAGGTAGAATGGGGTAAATTATCTCACAAAAAAAAACAAAAAGAAAAGTCTCTTACAGTGGAGGGGAAAAGGTGAGAGGGAATGAGTGAATCTTATTCTCATAGGATTTGGCTTAAGGAGGGAATAACATACACATTCAATTGGGTATGGAAATCTGTCTTACCCTACAGGAAAATAGGGGAGAAGGGGACAAGAGAGCAGGGGATGATAGAGAGGAGGGCAGATTGGGAAAGGGGTAATCAGAAGTAAATACTTCTGAGGAGGGACAGGGTCAAAAGAAAGAATAGAATAAATGGGAGGGCGATAGGATTAAGGGAAATAGAGTTAGTTTTTCACAACATGTCTACTGTGGAAGTGTTTTGCATAACTGCACATGTACAACCTATATTGAGTTGCTTGCCTTTTCAATGAGGGTGGGTGGAGGGAGGAAGAGAGAAAATTGAAACCTAAAGTTTTAAAAACATATGTTTTAAAAAAATGTTTTCACATGCTACTGGGAAATAAGAAATACAGGAAATGGGGTACAGAAGTCTATCCTGTCCTACAGGAAAATAGAAGGGGAAAGGGATAAGAAAAGGGGGGAGAGATAGAAGAGAGGACAGACTAGGGGAAGGGACATTCAGAATGCATGCCATCTTGGGGTGGGGGGAGGGGTGAGATGGAGTGAAAATTTGGAACTCAAAAACTTGTGGAAGTGAATGTTGAAAACTAAAAATAAATAAATTTATATAAAAAAAGAACTATATGGAACTATAAAGGACATATGAAGAAGTATGCTATCTGTATCTAGAGAAAGAATTGATAAATAGAAGTATGTATAAAATAATTTTACATATATATGTGTGTATATACATAATATCTATTTGGATCTAATGATAGCCATCTCTAAGGTTGGGAGGGAAAGAAAAAAGAAATTTACATGATAATTTTGTTGTATATTTGAAAGGAACAGCAAGCTGTGGATTTGTAGTTTCATGTGCGACCATCTATTTTATTGTACTATGTTATGGAAATGCTTGTTTTATTCCATAAATTAAAAATGAAATTTCAAACAATATTGCTGTTACTGTATACAATGTTCTCTTGGTTCTGCTAATTTCACTCTTCATTATTTCATGCAATTCCTTCCATGTTTTTCTAAAATCATCAACTCATCATTTCTGATAGCACAGTAGTATTCCATCATGATCAGGGTGTTGTGTGAGGTCATACTGCTCAAAAACATCCAATAACCACCTCTACGAAATCTTACAAATGACTGCGCATTCAACACTGACGTGACCTTTGTCATATCTTTCCATTTGGATGACATAGCTATTAGGTTCTTTTGGTTTCTTTGTTATAGAGATTGATTTTTATCAGTTCAATTTCTTTGGGAATAGTTATACTTTGTTCTTTTATCCATTCCCCATATTTCAGCATCAATTGCATGTTTAAACAAGTCACATTTGTTTTTAATTGAATTTTTGTCTACTAACAAAATTTTGTCTATTAACAGAAATCTATTTTCTCTCCCTCCCACCTCTCAATCTTTTGGAAAAAATTAAAACAAAGTTATTATAACAAATATGCATAGTCAAGCAAGACAAATTCACACTTCGGCCATGTCAAAAAATATAAGAAAAAATAAAGCATAAACATAAAATATAATAACAACAATGATGATAAATATAAAATAATAATATAAAATATTTTAAAACATGAGTATACCATTACATTCACATGCCATGATTTGTTTAGACATTTCTCCCATTGACGGGCAGCTTTTAGTTTCCAGTTCTTCACCACTACAAAAAGAACTGCTCAAAGTATTTTTGTAGATATATGCCCTTTTCTTCTTTCTTTGTTCTCTTTGGAGTATAGGCCTAGTAGTGGTATCATTTAAGGGGACATCTAAAAGGAGACATACAGTTTAGTGATTTTTGGGGGGGGGTTGTTTTTTTTTTGGGTTAGTCAATGGGGTTAAATGACTTGCCCAGGGTCACACAGCTAGTAAGTGTTATGTGTCTGAGGCCAGATTTGAACTCAGGTCCTCCTGAATCCAGGGCTGGTGCTCTATCCACTGCACCATCTAGCTGCCCCAATTTAGTGATTTTTTTTTTTTTGGAGCATAGGTCCAAATTGCTTTCCAGAATGGCTGGACCAATTCACAACTCCACCAACAGTGAATCAATGGGCCTTGATTTCCCTCAGCCTCACCAGCATGTTATTTTCCTTTTTTTTTTTTTCCAACTTTGTCAATTCACTTATTAGGTAGAGCCTCAGAATTGTTTTCATTTGCTTTTCTCTAATTAATATTCATATGAAGTATTTTCAAATTTGGCTACTGATAATTTTCATTTCTTCCTTTTGAAACTACCTCTTCATAGCTTTTTAAATAAATCATACTTGAGTTGCTTCTATTGTATGTCATATATTCTCATTTTCATGCTTTCCTCTAGTGTGGTATTGATTTTTCTCTACCAAATCAGCAGTCTGACTGTACCCAGAAACGGATTTGCAAATGTCACCCACATCAGTAACTAGTCATTTCCTGTGTATCAACATACAATCAATATCTTTTTTTATGATGTTATTTGGCATTCACCATGTCTAGCACCTACTAACTTTTAAAGAAGGCATTCATGAAACACAGGTGTGAGGCTCCTGTGTAGACCACAAGCCTTTCACCTCTCGTTTCTTGCCCCTAAACCATATTCGCCAATATATTTTTCACTATCCTTGTCTATAAACACCTTTTCATTGAAACCATTAGGTATTAAATTATATGTCGATTTAATTTGGACAGCCTATGGAATTCTTTATGGAATTTCTCTAACTTTTCATCCCCTACAACAGTTGTTAGTGCATAATTCAAAATAATTTTTATAACTCTAAGAAAATTAAATACAAATACTCATGAGTAATGCAATACAAGATGACCGAATAGCTCAGGAAATGATGGTTTTTGTTGCCTTTGAAAACAAGATTAAACTAACTCCACCAAATCTTTCACTGTATTTGTTCGACCACCAAAGACCTATGAGCCATCATACAGCTTGGTTGGAATTTCCTTTAATCCTCTGCTGTCTTTTCTTGTGAAAATCTTCCTGGCATATAATAAGCACTATATAATCATTATTAGTCATTGTATGATTATCTCATGATTAGGGAGACAAAGGCAATTAATGTTTGTAGATGGCCTAACAACTGACTTAACATTAATCTCTATTACATTTCATATTACTAGATTCCACCCAACATTCTAGCCTGCCTGCCAGGATTTTTTTTTTTTTGATCCTGACTCTGTCATAAAAAGTGCTGGCTGTTTCTCCAAGTTTTGCATCATCTTCAAATTTGATTGTCAGGTCATCTGAGTCATTGATAAAAATGTTACACGGCACAGACCCAAGCATGGCTCCCTGAGGCCTTCCTCCAGAGACTTCCATCCTCAGTGACACTGACCGATTAAGGACTTCTCTCCGGGTTTGGTCATTCAAACAGATCCGAGTGTTTTTTCCAGTAGGTAGGGATGGTACATTCTTTGTACTTGTATTCCAGTGTCTAGCACAATGCCTGGAAGACAAAAGGCACTTAAATTATTGACTGAATGCTCGTCTAGCCCAGTGGCTCTCAACATTTTCCAAAATGTTAACACCCTTCAATTTAAACAATCCTTTGGCAGAACCCTTATAGTAAAATCATCTAAAATTATTGCTTTTAGTGTATGTTAACAAACAATGAGATTTATTTGAAAAAAAAACCCACTACCCAACTCGGGGCGTTTCAAGGTCCCTTGCAGCACAATTTGGGAAACATCAGTCTAGCCATCTTTTTCCACAGGAATAGCGAGAGACTTTGTCAAATGCTTTGCTAAAACCTCGCTAAGTTAATATATTTACCCCATTCCCCTCACCTGCCAGGACTAGATGTGTGATTTCATTCCTATAGGGAATTCCCAAGGGAGAGGACTCCCTCTACCAATGAAGGGTGGTACCTTCTCTGAAACCTAGGGTTGTTATTGTTGTCGAGTGGTTTCAATTGTGTCTGACTCTTCATGACTCCATGAGGGGTTTTCTTGGAAAAGATGCTTGAGTAGTTTCCTATTTCCTTCTCCAACTTATTTGACAGATGAGGAAACTGAGGCCAGCAGGGTTAAGTAACTTGCCCAGAGTCACACAACTAGTAAGTGTCTGAGGCTGGATTTGAACTCAGGAAGGTGAATCTTCCAGTCTCCAGACCCTGCACTCTGTGCACGATAGCACCACCTAGCTGACCCAAGTCTAGAGTACTGAGAGGATAAGTGACCTGCTAAGGTTACACAGTCTATAAGGCTGTGAGCTGCTCCAGAGCAGAAGCTGTCTTTTGTCTTTCTTTATATTCCTATCGTTTAGCACAGTGGCTGGCACAGAGTAGGTGCTTAATAAATGCTTGTTTACTTGACAAGTCAGGGGCAAGACTTGAAACCAGATCTCCCTTGGCTTTGAGGCTAGCTCTTCATCCACTGCGCCATGATGTGTCACATCAGTCTAGTAACCTTGCTATAAAGGGAAATGGGGTTAGTCTAGCATAACCTGTTCTTGATAAGTCATGCTGCCCCTTTGAGATAGCGACTTCCTTTTCTTAAGGTGTCCACTAACAATCTCTTTACTACCATGTTCTAGACTATTGCCAAGCATTTAATTCCAGCTCCCTGACCTTAAAGATTCTATTCTTCTCGACCCCACTTTTTTTTTTTTTTGGAAAATCATAACACTTACCCTTCTCTGATCATATGGTGCTTCTCCCGTCCTCAACTATCTTTTAAAGACCACTGACAGTGGTACCACAATCACATTCACATCCACAACCACAATATTCAGGTAATCCAAATGAGCTTAGAGACCTGAACTCAAGTCAGTTAAGTCAACAGGCATTTATTAAGAGCCTGCTCTGTATCAGGCACTGTGCTAAGTGCTGGTGATACAAAGAAAAAACAAAAAAAATATCCAAAACCTCAAACCCAGCTCCTGCTATCAGGGAGCTCACAGATAGCATGCAAACAACTATATCCAAACAAGATACAGACAGGATTAATTGTAGATTATTTGGAGGGAAGGCACTCCAATTAAGGGGGGTCGGGAAAGGCTTCTTGCATAAGGTAGGAATTTAGCTTGGACTTGAAGAAAGCCAGAAAAGTCAGGAGATGGAAACAAAGAGGGAATAAATTCCAGGCACGGAGAACATCCAGAGAAAATGTCCAGAATCAGGAGATGGAGCCCCAAGGTCTCTCTTCCTTTCTCTCTACTTCTATATGGTATCCATTTCCCATTAGCTATTTCTATCCTTCCCTTTCCAGTCCACATATCGTCCTCTTTGGCAGAGAGAAAGGAAGCCAAGTGTTGAGTGGCTCAGTCCTTTCTCCATCAGTTCTTATAACTATCCAAGCTTGAAAACAATTTTTGGTTGTCCTTGGACGATGATGGACCAATTCTAAGAATTATCCATTCAAGTTTATATCATAGTTTAGGCAATAGGTGTTCTTCGGCCACTTGGTTTTTTCCTGTGTAGATCCTTAGGATTTCCAGCCTCTGTTCTTTTGGAGGTTTATACCACAGACATTTTGCGTAAAGGACATGGCCACAAATTCATCCCCCATCATTTCTACTTGTCTTATTTGTCACTCACATTGATCATGTTAGACAATCCCTCCTTGCCCTCCTCACTGGAATCTTAGTGCCTTTAGAATTTCATTCTTTTTTAAAATTAATATATTTTTCCAATTACATGTCAAGACAATTTTAATATCTGCTTTTCAAAATTGTGAGTTCCATATTATCTCCCTTCCTCTCTTCCCTCCCTCCTCCTTGAGGACAACCAATTTGATATAGATTATACATATGCAGTCATACAAAACATATTTCCATATTAGCCATGTTGTGAAAGAAAATACAGACAAAAACCCAAGAGAAATAAGGTAAAAGAAATATGCTTTAATCTGCATTCAGACTTTATCAGCTCTTTCTCTGGAGCTAAATAGCATTTTTCATCATAAGTCCTTCGGAATTGTCTTCGATCATTATATCGCTGAGAATAGCTAAGTCATTCACAGTTATCATAGCACAATATCACTGTTACTGTGCACAACGTTCTCTTCAATGTACAATGCTCATTTCACTTTGCATCAGTTCATGTAAATCTTCTCACATTTTTCTGAAACATTCCTGCTTATCATTTCTTACAGCACAATAACATTCCATCACAATCATGGACCACAACTTATTCAGTCATTCCCCGGTTCATAAACATCCCCTCAATTTCCAATTCTTTGCCACCACAAAAAGCTGCTACAAATATTTTTGTACATGTGGGTCCTTTTCCTTTTCCTTTGATCTCTTTGGGATACAGATTGAAGTGTGGTACTGCAGGATCAAAGGTATGCAGTTTGATTGTCCTTTGAGCGTAGTTCCAAATTGTTTTCCAGAATGATTGGATCAGTTCACAACTCCACCAACAGTGCATTAGTGTCCCAATTCTTCCACGCACCCTCCCACATTTGTCATTTCTCTTTTCTGTCACATTAGCCAATCTGATAGGTATGAGGTGGTATCACAGAGTTGTTTTAATTTGCATTTCTTTATTCAATAGTGATTTAGAGCTTTTTCAGAATTTCATTTTTGAGAGCATCCCATCCCTTCTGGGATGACTTGCCCTATAGAATTTCAGTCTGTGGGATTCTACCTGTCCTTTCTCTGAATCTTTTAACATCTACTCTCCCAACAAGGTACATTTCAGTCTAGGCTCAGCTTTCCTCTACTTCTATAACACAATCATTATGAGATGGAGTAGTCATCCCCCACCCTCCTCAAAAAAATATGCCATCATTTCCACTCCAGCAAACATGGCCTCCTTGTTTATAAGAATTAGATCCAGAATAGCAATTTTCCTTGTTGTTTCCTCCATTTTTGGAAAGATGAAATTATCATTAAGACATGTCAAGAAAGTGTTCACTGTTCTACTTCAGGTAGGGAGCTCCAGAAAATATCCAGATAGTTGAAGTAATTAGTACTTTGAAATCCACTTCCCAAACACATCAATTTCTACTTCTCTTAGGGTGCTTTATTGTGTAGTGCGATGGATAGCATTATTGTTGCTGTTTCTGAGAGCATTAATCTTCACTCAAAAGCTTTCCACCAGGCTTCCCCTTTGGGTCTTGTTTCTCTTCTAAAGATATATGCTATACATCTTTAGAAAGTGAGTCTCTGGGCTTACTTTCCCACCCCTACTCACCTTAGCAGGTCAGATCCCCAAAGGATAGCTATCCATTCAAGATCCTAGGTATAATCTTGAGGCACTGGTGGACCCCCCCCATCCAGCCCCCCATTATTATTTATCCAGCTAACATCTCTCCAAAATAAATAAACCAATTAACACCAATTTGCTTTTACAAAGTGATATTTACTGAGAAGGTATAGCAATGACTGAAATATAAAACATCCCCCCCAAACCTAGAGGTGTACTCTCCCCTTCACGTACCCATTCAATCTTTGGGGAAAATGGACCCAAGATTAGATTGGCTGCTGTAAAACATCCCACCACCTTGGACCCCCAGCCCTGGAGGGGAAGATACCTCTTTTGCCTTGAGAGTTCTTTTCTCCCTTTGAAGAGTCCCCATAAAGTTAACTTCTGGGTCTGGTATAGCTCATGGACAAATTACTCCCTTGATGGCAGGACATTATCTCTCTACTGCCAGGTTAATTCACTGCTTAATTAAGCATTAAGGATTAAGCAGGTCATGACTCCTCATGGGCCCTACTACTGCTGCTACTAGCTCTGGTCACTGAGGATCTTTGATAGGTTCTACCGACCTTTCAAAGTCACAATGTCTGAACCTGGTCCATTCTGTCCCAGATACTCATTTACCTAAGATTAGTAATGAATAAACACAAGGACACAAAGGAAGCAGAGGTGTGATGTGTTCACAGCCCATGGTAACTGAGTAGGGAGAGAAGGCAGCCACGACAAGCCATTGACCCTGCTCTTACCTCCCCAACCTGAAGGCCCATAATATTTCTTTTTTCCCACTCAAAAGCCACCTGGGAAAAAGAGATCTTACTTTTGTATCCACTCTAAGTTCTGGCTCAACAGCTAATTACAAGACTTTTTGTCACCATGCAGTAAGCCAACAGGAAATAGTCAGAAGACACCGGAGGGTGGTCTGAGGTTGGGGGAGGGGAAGGCCCCCCGCCATCATGCATTTCTAAGAGCATGTTCATCCAGCCTCCATGTGGACTGTTACTGACTAGGGCATACTGTATACACTCTTGAGGGCCAGGCCCTCATTGGCCAGTCCCCACCTGCCCCTGCATTGTTGTCGTCCAATCATTTCAATCATGTCCGACTCTCCATGCCCCCATTTGGGGTTTTCTTGGCAGAGATACTGGAGTGGTTTGCCATTTCCTTCTCCAGCTCATTTGACACATGAGGAGACTGAGGCAAACAGGGTTCAGTGACTTGCCCAGGGTCACCCAGCTAGTACGCATCTGAGGCCTCATTTAAAATCAGGTCTTCCTGACTCCAGGCCTGACGTTCTATCC